AATGTGTCTTTTCAAACGATCTTTCAGAGAGAATTGTTTAAAACAAATTTCACACTCATAAGATTTTTCTCTAGTATGCACTACTCTGAAATGTGTATTCAAAGAACTTGATTGGCTAAACTGTTTAAAACAAATTTCACACTTATAAGATTTTTCTCCAGTATGTGTGATCAAATGGCTTTTCAGATGACTTTTTGTAGCGACTTGTTTACAACAAATTTCACACTCATAAGATTTTTCTCTAGTATGCACTACTCTGAAATGTATATTCAAAGAACTTAGTTGGCTAAACTGTTTAAAACAAATTTCACACTTATAAGGTTTTTCTCCAGTGTGTGTCATCATATGTTTTTTCAAACAATCTTTCTCAGAGAATTGTTTAAAACAAATTTCACACTTATACGGTTTTCCCCCAGTGTGTTTTCTCAAATGTCTTTTCAAATAATATTTCAAAGAGAATTGTTTGAAACAAATTTCACACTTGTAAGATTTTTCTTTAGTGTGTGTCAGAAAATGTTTATTCAAATTACTTTTAGTTGAAAACTGCTTAAAACAAATATCACAAGTGAAAAACTTTTCAGTGTGCTTTTTTAAATGTTTTTTTAATCCACCTTTTCTAGTAAACTCCTCTAAACTAACTTCACATGTGTCAGGTCTTTGTATAGTTGAAACTTTCATATCTTTATTTAATATGTTTTCTTCAGTGTGTTGACTCTTGTATTGGTATTTATTAGTTGAATGTTCAGTTAATATTTCTATCATTTTCATTGAGTCCTCCTTCTGGGAACAACCTAAAATACAAACATCTATAGCTGTGGGTAAAAAAATGTCAATTTCATGCACTAACTAGTGAATTTTTGAAACCTACTCTGTTTTATAAAGGGTAATGTTAAGAACAACTTCCCAGTCCATGAAACAACAAATTATTGGTTATTATTTAATAATGAGACCTTGAAGGAGTAAAATATGTATTTACTTTTTCATTCATAATTCATAACATTGCAAAGTTTAAGGTATTAAATACGTATATAGCCAAATAACAATAAAATTACATTAAATTTATAATTTTATAAGTTTAATTTCAGTCAATTATTATATCATAATTAGCACATATATCAAAAGAACTATATTTTTTGTAAAAAGGCTTGTTTAATAATTCTTAGATAAAATGAGTTTTGTAAATCCCAAGCAGTACCTATATTTGTTGCTAAGATATAGTTTGTTTTTCTAAATACAAGAAAAGTAAAAGGCTATAATTTAAAAAATTGCAGATTATTAATCAAAGCGCAAAAACTAAGATGGAAATAGACCAAGAGAAATATTAAAAATAAGGTGGTAAGACCAACTGCTAGGGGATATACTATCAAAGATGGAAATTTGCAAACTTGAGTGAAAATATTGCAGTCCAGAGTGAGTGGAGGAAGGTAGTAATTAAAGCAAAAAAAAAATAAAAATCTCTGAGTAATAGTTTGAAGGATATTAATCCATAGATTTAACTGGAATAAAAGGGCTCATGGAATATTAAGTGAGCAGCTACACTCTACCAAGATCCAAAATTCATTGGTCCATACACTAAGGTTAAAAAAATACAGAATGAGTAGAATGAAAATTATCTTTTAAAATTCACTGTATATAGAACTACACTCACAGCTGTCCTATAAGTCATTTCATATGCTTCCCAGTTACCTCATAAGCTATTGGCATACTCCATACAAAAAGATTAGCCTCAAAAATTACTCCTAGTAAAGATATAAAAAGAAAAAATATTACCTTACTCAACTATCAGTTAGACATAAATTACTTACTTATGTTTTACATCACTAATCATGGGAAAAGTTAAGTAGGTATTAGTCAAATTGAAAATGATTTGATTAAAAAAGATACCACCCAGTTATAAGTCATTAATGAACAAAAAGAACCCAAAATAATTGTAGAAAAGATAATTGTAGAACCCTCTTGAACAGATAAACCTTGATGTCAGAATAGGTAACAAATGTCTTCGAAAATGTAAAAAAAAAACCTCAGGCCTTAAGAAAATTTAACAACTGCTAGTACAAATAAACCTTTAACATAGCAGTTGCTATAAAATACCAACTACATAATGTACAGCCAGGAAATTTGGAATATATGTACTTGATAGTTCATGCAGTCTACAATCAATAATAAATGGTTGATGTATGATTATTTGAGGATAAAATATATACCATTTTCACTGTTTTGTGATTCTGTAACCCCCTGTTCATTATTAACTGTTTCATATTTAACAAATTCATAATTTGGATCTTGTTTGATTTCATTGAAACTATCGCTTTTAAACAGATTATTTACTTCCACCTCAATCTGTTCTTCTTTAATCTCAATTTTTACCAATTCCTTTAAGTCTAAATAATCAAATGTATCATGTGTTCTTTCTATATTGGGCTCCTCTTTAATTTCATTCTTAAAACCATCTAAAAGAGCATCATCTACATTATTAGAATATATTTCTACTTTACAGATGTCATCACTAAATTCTTGTTTTACTTCCATTTTAAACCCAAGCTAAGCAGGTCAAGTTTGCGGTAAATAAAAATAAAAGGGGTATATACTTATACTTTGAAACTGAGAATAAAGGACGTTTTCATTTTCACATTTGGTCCCAAGGTCCCAATGAGAATGAAGATTAGACGTCACACTGTCACACGTCTTCAACTTTGACATCCTGATTTCATACACCGTTGCCAATGCCACAGACTAATAACCAATCAGAATGCCCACTCTCAGATGCCGCCTTTGAAGTTTTTCAGCACGCGCGCCATGTTTTAGAAGGAAACACATAACACAGACATATGATTTTGTGAGGTTATTTAATTGTTTATATTTATGTTTAATTCTATTATATTTATGTTATTATATTTAACAATGTTAATATAATTGTATAGTATATCTATGATTGCCGTAAGTCAATTAAACGGGGTTAATTTTGTCTATACACACCACATAAACATGGTATACCCGGTTCGCTATTCCCAGTCCGAACTGTCTAGTGATTTAGTAATTATTTTTTTTTTTTTTTCGAAGTTAGTTACTTTTTGACAGACTCGAAGTGGCTGGAAAATACTATACAACCAAGCATACGTGCTCTTAGTCAATATTAATGTAAACAAAAGTAAATAAAATAGAACTTTGCCGACAATCAATATTTATTTATTTACACCGTATAATGTATTGATAACAAATAATAAAATTATTTATTGTACAAAATAAAAAAGTGGGAATAAATTCTACAAAATTAAGAAGTCAAAGTGAGGTTAAATAAGAATAAGACACAGCAAGTTCCTTATGTATTTACAACATTTACATAATTCGATAAATACATTTTAATGATCAACTTACTTCAACAGGGTTTTCATTCGGTAAAAAAAATGGTAGGCATTTTGACTAAACCTTTGTGCAGTTTTATTAGCTTGTAATCTAGGAACAGCATCCTTACTAATCTAAAAATATTAACTTAAAAAAAACTTTTTAAAAAACATTTTATCATATTTATTAAGAAAAACTTACCAACACATTAGCTGATGGAACAAATGGAAAACTTTGACTATCCATAATAATAAAATTTAAAATATAACTAACTAATTAACTGAATAGAACTAACAAAAGAATTAAACAAAGATAATAAAACTATATTAAATTTAATAAACAACGCGAATAATACAAATATTTAGTACAATATTTTAAATTGTAACAATTCAAATATATTTTAAATATACATGGAAATTTTGATGGATTTAGTATACACAGAGATATGTAAGAGAGTATACACTTCCACCATTTAGAATAATTCTTCTTTTTTTCAAAGAAAGAAGTCTGCAATAGTAGTATACTTGAGCTATTTATACTGAGAAGTAGGAATTGTTGTGTTGTAGGTTTCCTACAATGAGTCTGTCAAAATATGCCCTAACTAAGCGAATAGAGAATAGAACGTCTGGTTCTCTCTAAAACATGGTAGAACATCTGCGCGAAGGAGATGGGAGTACTTAATTTTCCATGCAGAGTGGGCATTCTGATTGTTCATTATTCTGTGACTAAACCACCGAACAACTACTCCTAATGTATGTTTATTCACCGAACACCTGTTGTTCGGTCAAATCATATGTCTATGTCCTCCTAAAACATGGCGCGCGTGCTGAAAAACTTCAAAGGCGGCATCTGAGAGTGGCCCTTCTGATTGTTTATTATTCTGTGACACTAGTGCTAACGTAATATTTCGTTCTGTGAAACTTAATTGACAGATTGACAGCTAATTTGAGGCTATCGATCGGTTACTGAGTGGTTACCATCGAGCAAAAAGATAAAAGAGGGAATCTAATCGTTATGAAAAGGAGACCAAAAAAGTGGCCTCTGATGGCGGACATATCCGGAAATGCAAAGGCGCTAAATTTAAATTTTCCAACACTTATTAACAATAGCTATAAAATATTTTTCAGACGAGAAAGTTTTAATTAAATATTAACTATAATAGTCTAAAAAGTGACACAATAGGTAAAAGATTTCAATATAAATAAAATTTCATGTGACAGTTGGGACAAACAATAACATAACCTAACTAAATTTGACTTCTTAAACAAGGAAAGAGACTGTCTATCCTTGTCTAAAGTGGCCTCTCAAGATGGCACTTCCTGTCTATCAATATGTTTACCCCCATTACCTTTACATTCCCTCTTTTGTCTTATTGCTCGATGGTGGTTACTGACCATTGTTACTGACGTGTGACCGTGACCATCGTGTGACGTACAAAACGTTTATTAAAAATGATTATTATAATTATTGTATAAACTGGTATAAACGTAATTTACAATTACAAAAGGGTATATATCACAAACCCATGGGGTATATACTCTGATCATCGAGTTAGGATGACTCTGAATTACAATAGATAAAGAAGTAATTAGTGATTTTAGTTACTGCACATAATACATAATTTACATTACTATTACTGAAGACATAAACCAAATCAAATGGAAGTAAAACAAGAAGATAGTAAAATTAATTGTAAAGTAGAAATAGATAGTGAGGCATATGATGTTCCTTGGGATACTTTCAAAGCGCAAATTAAAGAGGAAACAGCTGGCTATTTAAATTTATTGGAAAGTCACTATATAAAGACAGAAATAGATGATCTACTTACAGAAAGACAAATAAAGGAAGAAGGTAAAGAAAATAACAGTATTTTAAAGTTAAAATGTATGGGGTTTCATTATTTTCAATATATTTTTGATGAAGTGTAGGATACAACACTACCATACTTTCAATTACTATCCTGAGACCTTTTTAAACCATTAAAAAAGAAAGTAATTTAACTCATTAATTCCCATTGTTTCCCAATGATTTAATAATCAAAAATTGGTTAAATATGGATTTAGAACAATGAACATAAACGTAACCTATAATTTTTCTATTTTATTTGACATTCCATCAGTGTTGCCATGGTAGTCAAGAAAATTTCACCACACTAGCTACACAAAAAATCACCACTTTTCACCACTGTTAAAAATGGCGGCAAATTTGAAATATTTTTAACATAAAGAGAGAAAGAAATGTGTACTTCAATTAAATATTAAGGACTTCCTCGAAACTCGAACATATTATGTTCCCAGCAACATGGCCGGAGAAGAGAGTGCCGCGAATTGTGATGTATTTAAAACTTGCAAAGGTTGCGAAAGAAATGTTGTTACCACTATTGTGAGATGTGTAACGTGTGTGTAACGCAGTTTTCCATCCATCTTGTGCTCTAAGGGTAGCTGGATTGGTAGTTGTTGGCAAAAATAACTTAGTGAAATGCTGTGCTATAGAAAGTGAGGTTATACCACAACAAAACTTTAACGAAAACATCAGAATGTTGCTAGATGCGAAAGAAGAATTACTTAAAAGTAAGGACGAACTTATTTCCAAATTAAAAGCTAAAGAGAGTGTTCTATTAGAAAATATTAAACTATTAAAAGAAAATATATCTTTATTAAACATAAACACTGGCAACGTTGCTAATAAAAGTTACAGTTCTGCGGTTGCTACGCCAATACCACAGACACAGAACGTTGCTGTCAGGCAGATATCAGCTGACGAATTAAATTCAAAATCAAAACAAAACATTAACCAAACGCATCAATAAAATACATACGTTAATAGACAGAATTTAAACGCTGGTATTCTGCATGCTCATACGGCTAATAAAATGCAAGAAATAATAAATTTAGGCCACACAGATAATCATGAGGTTGGATGGCAGCAGCAGCCTAGAAGGAGATACCGCAAGTTTATGGTTGGGAATAACGAAGAAACCAAGGATGTGCAGTCAGTACCTAAGTGTGTATTCCCTCATGTAACTAGGCTTGCACCAAATACGACCACAGAAGACTTGAAGCGGCTTTTAGACCCCAATTTTAAAGATGTATGGTGTGGAGTCTCATCCATCTAAACACCCTGAACTTTATACGTTGATGAAAGTTACCATCAGAAGAGATGAACTAAAAAAAGCTTGGAAGAGGGAAGTATGGTCATCTGGTACCCTCGTGTCTCATTTTTTAGTAAAAACGAGGATGCCAACAAGGCAGATGGATCCTCAGAATCAGAATTAATAATACAAACATTGCAGACCCAAAATCTAAACATTTTCTATCAAAATGTACGAGGCATACGCACTAAAACAAGTGACCTATATACCAATGTTCTTAGTGAAGATTTTGATATCCTATTAACTGAAACATGGCTTTAGATGGAATCTCCAATGAAGAACTTTTTAATAATCGCTACATAGTCTTCCGCAAAGATAGGGCCAGTGGCAAGACATTGGGTGGTGGAGTTATGGTAGCATTAAAAAAGAAATTTATTGTAGAAAGTATTAAAGTTAATTGTAATATAATTGTTGAGTGCTTGTTACTTAAGGTAAGGTTTAAAACATATTCATTTTATGTCTCCTGTGTATATATACCTCCTGGTGTAAGGATAGATATTTATGAAGAACTTTTAGAAATCTATAACCAAGTATTGTCAGAAAATATTAATATTATCATATTTGGAGATTTTAATATTCCTGGATTTATTAACTTAAGTTGTGAAAAGAGCAGCTTCCTTAAACAATTTCAAAATCTTAACAATTTAAATCAATATAATACAATTTTAAATTGTAAAAATAAACTGCTTGATCTTATACTGTCAAACATATCCATAACCAATCTAACTAGGTCTGGGTCTCCTTTGATACCTGAAGATTATTATCACCGGTACAGATAATGTTACTAGAATATAAAGATAATTCATACACTGAGAGTAATATACAATAGTCTTATAGGTATGATTATGCCAGGGGGGGACTTTAATCTTCTGTATCAATTAATAAGGGACACTGACTGGTCAGATATGTATAATTGTATAACTGCTACATATTGTATTAATCAATTTTACCATAAATTGTATGACTGCATTAATCAAGCCATCCCAAAGAAAATTATTAAAAATAGACAAAAACAGAAATATCCAGCTTATTTTAGTATAGACCTTATTAAAAAATCAGACAAAAAAACAAATTAAGCAAACATATAAAAATAAGGAAAGCTAGTGCTATTGATAACAATAAATTCAAAAGTCTTAGAAATACTATTAAAAAGCAAATCAAAATGAATTTATGCAGCATCAAAATAATATTGAAGATAACATTTTGCATGACCCAAATAGTTTTTGGACATTCATAAGAAGTAGGAGTTTTGTACTTGTGTGTATATTGTATTTTTTGTGTGTATATTGTTATACCAAGTAATGAGCACTCTTACATGTAATTACTACCTAGGTGGTGTTTGTAAGTTTTAATAAATAAATAAATAAATAAATAAAAAAACATATTTATTTACCTAAAACTTTAAGAACTTAATACATAAACTTACACTAAATAAATGAATAAACATAACATCAAATGAAAATATTTATACATAAATACAAAATAAAAAATCAGTCATAAATATTCGAATATTTAGCCATATGACTCGTAGTAATAGGATAATCAAAACAGTTGTTATCCCCTATTACTGTTTTTGAGTGTAAAATTCCACGTAGTGTACTTAAAGCTAATTTATTTCTTGTTTTCGTCTTATTTAGATTAATTATTGAAAATAATCGCTCACAAGTTGCACTGCTGTGTGGCAGAGATAAGCAGACATCTATTAATTTTATGACTTCGCTGTATTTTACAGAACCATCAGGATTTGACACTGCTCTAATCTTATTCCAGAATGTCAGCATGTCATTTGTGTCGGTTTGTATTACACTGTCATTCCTTAATAGGTGCCATTGTCGGTCTATTTCAATAATGTCATTTCCCTCTAATACCGAAGTAAAATACTGGGCTAATGGAATGATAGAATTTGGCTTTTTCTCTTTTATGAGTATTGGATCCAACAAAGCCATTTCCTTTAAAATACCTGCTGTATCTCCTCTAAAGGGAAAGCGTTGGTAAATTTGATTAGCGGCCTCAGTGTAAAATGCTAAACACCTTTGTTTAAATATGGTGATATCATGTTGTGGAATGTCAGCTTGTAAAAGTGTACGTGTAACATGAGGTCCTAAATAAATTTCATCTAAGGCAAGAAAATTGTGCGGATTTCGAAATTGAATATCCTCAACAGCTGTGCTATTAATGTATCCTGAATTTAAATAATTTTCTAAAAATGTTATGTATGTCTGCTGTATTTTACTGTAAAGTGTTTGTATTTTAGGACATTCTGATTGAAATTCTTTATTTAAGTCTGTGAAAAATGGCAAAGTATAATTTAAAAATTCCAAATATAATTTTGTAGTTTTGTTATTTAATTGATTGTATATCCATTCGGCATCTTTATTTTTGTTATTAATATACTCATTCTTAAAATAGGCAAAAAGTGCATTATATTGTTCATGAAATCTTTTTACCACTTGTACAAGCGACAACCATTTCGTTTGGGATGGATGAAGGATTTTATGAGGTTTTACCTCAACAAAAACCTGAAATTCTTTGTACTCACTGATCCTTTTAAAACTAGACTTAAAAAAATTATAAACTGATCGCAGTAGCTGTTCTATCTCATTCGGTATCTCTTGTGTTGCATATGATGCACATAAAGCAAACGAGTGGCACACGCACTTTAAAATAAATAAATGAGGTATATCATTTTTTAGAAGAGTGCTGACTGAGTGATGTCTGCCCATCATGACATTTGCGCCATCAGCAGCAAAACCTACCATGTTTCTTTTATAATCTATTTGATTTTCAATAAAAAATGTTACAATAGATCTATAGATATTTTCAGCAGAAGCATCAGCGACTTCCATAAGCTCTAAAAACACATCGGAAGCTATTTGATTCTTAAAAAATCTTGCTATTAAAGCCAAATTTTTTGTAGTGCCTATGTCTGTAGACTCATCAATAATTAGAGAGAATTTTGTTGTTTTTAAAATTGTTAAAATATTTTCTTTTCCATGTGCACCTACAACATTATTCACTATTTTCGCCGCTTTCGTTCTTCCACACGAAGTTTTGCTTAGAGAATCCTTGTCCACATGTAAATGTTTGATCAGCTGCACTAAATGATCGGCTACATTAAATGCCAAATTGTGTTCTACTAAAAAACTTGCTATGCGTATATCATTTTCTTTACCTCGTTTTACGGCTACTAACGGTGATGATGACGATACACTCATCGATGTCAGGGTTTGTCTGCTTTTGTAGTCTCTTGCTTGTTTTTCATGTTTTTTAGTCTTCATATGTTTCAATATTTCGGCTTTACCGCAGACATAATCACATGAACAAAACTTGCAAAAAAAATGAGTATCTCCCTTGCTACTTGCTTGTATCCATAATTTAAATCTTTCATCACTCTCCCATGCAGATTGAAATTTGTGAATAAATTTCCTTTTACCAGTATTTAATTTCATTCTTTGAGCTTCACTTATCCCTGATTTTCCGGAATCGTCAGACATCTTTTTTAAAAGTTCTTCTAGATATTATCTAAAAATATCCAACAATATAATATATAAAATACTACTTATTAAAATAATGTTACCTGTTTATTACAAAATTGAACGAAGTTCCTAAATCTCTGGATCTTCTAAACAAACCACAATTATTTATATTAAAATATAGGAAATAATAAAACACACAAATAGCATCACTTTTACAATCTCTT